AGGTACTGTTTAATTTCTTCTTTAATTTCCCCTGTTACCTCCTGATTGCTCAAGGCTGGATTATTCAATTTCCATGTTTTTGTGGGGTTTTTACAGTTTCTTTTATCATTAATTTCTAGTTTCATCGTGCTATGATCTGATAACATGCATGAGATAATTTCAGGATTTTTTGCATTTATTTAAATATGTTCCGTGGGCTAGTATATGGTCTATTTTAGAGAATGTCCCATGTACTGCTGAGAAGAATGTATACACTGATGTTAAATGGAACACTCTGTATATGTCTATCAAGTCCTTTTGTTCACAGGTGTGATTCAGTACTGTTATTTCTTTGCTGATTTTCTGTCTGATTAACCTGTTCCTTGGTGTCAATGGTGTGTTAAGGTCTCCTGTTATAATTGTTATTGCTAATTTGATTTTTCATTTCTGTTAATACTTGCTTTGTATAACTGGATGCTCTGAAATTTGATGCATATATATTCAAGATTGTAATGTCTTCCTCTTGAAGTTTTCCCCTAATCAATATGTAATGACCTTCTTTATCTCTTCTCCTCATACTAGTTCTGAAATTCACATTGTGTGCAAACAGAATAGCTACCCCTGCTTTTTTTTTTTTTTTTTGGTTCCTGTTGCATGAAGTATTGCTTTCCATCCTTTGACTTTCAGTCTGTGAGTTTCCTTTTGGATTAGATTGGTTTTTTTGTAGACAGCATATGATTGGACGTTGTTTCTTGATCCATTCTGCCAGTCTGTTTCTTTTAATTGGTGAATTGAGATGATTAACATTAATGTTTATAACTGTTATATATTGGTTTATTGTTGACATGTTATCTTTCTGCTGTTGCATCTTTTTCGTTTTTATCGGTACCAGGGATCGAACTCATGACTGCCTGCTTGCAAGGCAGGCGCTTATGCCACTGAGCTAAATCCCCAGCCCCTCTGCTGTTGCATCTTTATCTTTCAGTTCTGTTTAATTGTCTGCTTTGTTTAGTGGTCTTTTCCTAAATAGGCTGTCTTTCAGTATTCTTTGCAGAATTGGCTTGGTGTTCATGAAGTTCTTCAGCTGTTCTTTGTCATGGAAGTATCTTATTTCTCCATCAAATTTGAAAGACAGTTTTGCAGGGTACATCAGTCTAAGTTGGAAGTCATTTTCCTTTAGAATCTAAAATACTTCCCTCCATGCTCTTCTTGACTTTATTGATTGTGCTGAGAAGTCTGCTGTGATTCTGATAGGCTTTCCTTATAGGTGGTCTGTCTTTTCTCTCTAACAGCTTTTAATACTCTATTTTTATTTTGCATTTCTTGGATGGTGATTATTGTATGTCTCGGTATAGTTTTATTTTGGTTATGGCTACGTGGAGTTCTATGTGCTTCACTCACCTGTATGTTAGTTTCCGTTCTCATGTCTCAGAAATTTTCAGCTATTACTTCTTTAAATAGTCTCTTGATATCCTTTGTATTGTCTCCTTTTTTATTTATTCCTATCAATCTTATGATGCTTTTCTTTGAATCATTTTGAAGCTGTAGAATTGTTATTTCCTGATTTCTTGTGATTTTTAAAAGATCTTTCCATTCCTGTTCACTAGCTGCAATCTTCTTTGAGGTCTGAAATTCTATCTTCACTTTCATTGAGGCAGTTTTGACAGCTTTCAATGGAATTTTTTATTTCCTGTACATCTCTTTTTATCTACTTTATGTATTCTGTTTTTTTCTTATATTGTTCATCCAGGGATTCTATCTTTTAGTTTTATCCCACTAATTTTTTAATTGTGTCTTCCTTAGATGTGTTCAGCATCTCTTTCATTACTTTTAGCATTTCTTTTTATACCTGGGAGATTATTTCTAGTTTGAATTCCTTTAAAGCTTCAGAGTTGCTTCTTTATTACAATTACTATTATTTCAGGTATTTCAGGTATATAGCATACATTTTCTTCTATGTGCATGGCTCGTAGACTTTCTTGAAATGGGCTGGAGTTTTGAGATTGCATTTTGGCCTTTCACGTTATCACTTTCCTGTATTTCCATGTTTAAATGTTGTTCCAAAGCTTTTCATGGATGTATTGGAAATTGTCTCCTATGCCCTGGATTCCTGGGACTCTTTGGCAGTGTAGCTCCCTACTTGGACAGCAAAGCCATAGGATTTAAAGAACATCACCAGGCGTGGCCCAGGCAGGCCCAAAACCTTTTCTGGCAGCAAAGCTACCCCATCCAGCAGTGAAACTCCCTAGATCCTGGAACAGGCAGGTCCGCAACCCAGTGAGCGCAGTCCAAGGTGGCTGCAAGCCAGCCGGGTCACTAACCACTGAGAGCTATGATCTCAAACTCTCCCTGGGCTCCGATGTTATGCAGGAACCCACCTCCTCGGGCAGTGTAGCTCCCCGGATTAAAAGAAGGTCACTGAGTGTGGCCCAAGCAGGCTGGAAATCTCCTCCACCAGTGCAGGTCCCTCCTCTGGTGGTGGCCACAGTGGAGCTCCCTGGATTGAAAGAAAGTCACTGGGTGTGGCCCAGGCAGAGGAACTTGTATGTAATGAGTTTCCCACAAAGGAGCAGTTTTAACCTGTGGTGGATAAATTTAAGAATTTTTAGGATAAGGGCTAGGGATTTAGCTCAGTGGCATAAGAACCTGCCCGGTAAGCTTTAGGTTGTGTTTTTGATCCCTGGTACAACAAAAAGATAATTTTTAGGACAAAAAGAGTGAGATGAATAGAAATATTATCAAAGCAAGACAAGAGGACAAACAATGATCATGTTAGCTCTGAGAACCTGGAGAAGAAGGAAAGAGAGAAAGCGTGAAGGGGAGACCAAAAGGTCATCAATGTGAATACGAAAGTCTGGGGCAATGTTCACTTAAATGATAGTACAAGATCAACAGATATATTTGAAGAAAGAGAGAAATAATATTAATGGAATAGAACAAAAATATATGTATAAGCTTAAAAAATAAAAAACCAATACCAAGTAAACAAAAGATCTCAACTAGTCAGTAAAAGGGAAACAATACACACGAAGAAAAATAAATTCCTCTGATAGTCACTTTTCTGTGGTGCTGTCCAAATCAGTGTCCTACCAAATTCTGCAATAGAAATAGTGCTGGATTGGATGTGGGACAAAATGACTTGGGATTTAGGGGCTGTCTTTAGCAAGCAGCTTGCTGGATAGCTTGCCCATGTTTCCTTACCCTGTTTGTTTCTGCATTCAATGCCCTTGTATTTTCTGTGGCCCTTTCAGAGATAATGCAAGGCTGTTCCCGCGCAGTTAGTCCCTCCCACAACTTGTACATGCTGATTTGTTCCACAAAGATAGTTTCTCTCATTCACTGCCTTGTAGTAGTCACAAGTTCTTCCTGTGCTGAATGTAGCAATTTGGAGAAAGTTACAACATCCTGGTTCAAGGATGTTTGTGCTGCTGGTGGCTCGTCACATGATGAGGAAGTGCTAATTTCTCACTCTTGTCCCTGCTGCTGTGAGACGGTGTTAAGTACTCTCTTGTGCTAGTGGTAAAGCAGGAGGAGTTATGTTGTTTCATTCACAATCCTCAATGCTGTGTGCAGTCCTTAGCCTTGTTGTCACTCTAGGCTCAAGTTATTAGTTATGGTGCATGACAGAGAGAAAAAGAAGAAGGTAATGAAGTAGAAAGAGGAAAAGGAGGAGGAGGAGGAGAGGAAAATAAAAAATAATGATTGTCCCTCAGAGAAGGAGCAGTCATTCATCCTTTGTGTGTGCTAGCAAAATGTGTTGCTTGTGGCGAGCTTGCAATGTCCTCTGTTTAGAGAAAATTTAAAAAATTTAAGGGATCGACATTCTTGGTCTGTCTGGTGTGGATTCCATTTTACACACTTCTGAGGTCTGTCCGGGTTTTTGTTTTCATGGGGGAAGACTTCCTGGGAATGGTGGTTCCTGTTTTGACTGTCACCAGCAGTACACACATGGGCAGCCCTGTGGGCTGGTTTTTCATTTGATAAAGTCCTATGCTTGTGTTTTATTTTATCTACAAGTCTCTTATTTTAGATTAATTTTGATAGCAGGATAAATGTCCTTGCCTTTCTTCCAGTTAAGTTTTCAGTTGATTGTCTCTGAGAACTCATATGAGTAATCCTTTATTTAGCCATGTTGAATTCTCTCAGCATTTCTCTTGCCTGTGATATTTTTGTTAGTTTCGATATAGAAGAAATAGTGTTACTGTTTTCAAATGAAAATATGTGAAATTTTTGTGTGGTTTTCATTATCACTTTTATTAGTACATCTTTGCAATATATGCAATCATATATAATATATATATATAATCATTTGGGAGAGTGGGTGATGTTAGTGATACAATTTGATCTTTGTTTCATCTTATTTCATCTTTCTGACATATAATGTTCACATTTATTTGGGTTGTTAGGTTCCTATACATGGCATATATTATTTTACTTATTTCTTCTTGTTGTCCCTCTCTCTTCTCTCTTGCATTCTTGTAGATTCATTCTCATTTGAAAAAGTCCTATCTCCATCTTCTTATATCCATCCTTTATCGTGCTCTTTGCCTTACTCAAATAAGGGATATCATAGCATATTTAAGATTGTGGGGTCTAATTTATTTTGCTGAACATTATGTTTCCCAGGTGTATCCTTTTGCCTACAAGTGTCTTGAAATTTTTTATAGTCAAATGGTGTTCCATTATACATGGATACCACATTTTCATTTTCAAATCATCTCTTGATGAATATACAGGCTGCTACCAAGCATTAGTTGTTACAAATTGTGCTGCATCAAACACATTAGTATGCATGTATGATTGGAGTGTGATGTCTTTAGCTCATTAAGGAAGAGGCTAGAAGGAAGATAGCTGGGTCATATGGAATTTCTAATTTTAGTTCTTTCAGTAGTTTTTATCCTGGTTTTCTCAGCGGTTGCTGCCAACAGTGTGAGAAGATTTATTTATCACCACAACCATGTCAGCATTAGTTATCTTTGCTTTAGTGATTGCCATTCTTTCTGTTGTAAGATGAAAGGTTACTGGCCCTGAATTAAAGCCGGAAGCTTCCTGACACTGTTGGTTTCAAGCAGGAGCCTAAAGAGATGTCTTTCTATGGTCTGTTATCTATTTCAGAACTTGAGCCAGAAAATGGTCAATCCATTAGAAAGAAGCAGCTTGAAGCAACCCCTCCCCACTCTGGTGAGTTGCTGCGAGCATGGTGGGCTGTGGTAGCCCAGGACAGGAGCCACTGGCTTTTACTGGGACCCAGCCATGCTGGGACCTGGAGCACTGGGAAACCAAGCAACACTTCCCCCCTGCCGGTTTTGTTTTGTTGAACTTCAATATACGTGAAAGTATGGACAGCTATTTTGAAGAGAACAAGAGACTATGACAGCCATTAATGACTTCCCTATTGTTGGGTTTTGAAGACCTAAAACACCTTCCTCATTCTGTTCAGATTACCTTTATACTATGTTGTTTTGTGTGAATTCTCTGCATGCGAAGACATTGACAACTGTTTGAAAGAAAACAAGAGACAATATGATAGATAGTGAAGATCTCAGGTCATCTAGCTTGAAATTTGTATCTCTTGCATTGTTTTTTATGTCCTATTTTGTTTTGTTTTGTTGTGTTTAATTTTACCTCTTTAAAAATAAAACAAAATTTTTACGAAAGATGAAAAGTTAGCTGTGCTTTAGTTTGCATTACTCTAATGGTCAAACATTGTTGACATTTTTCATGTAATTTTTGGCCATTTGTATTTCTGCCCTGAATAGTGTCTGTTCATTTCACTTGACCATTTCTTGATTGAGTCTTTTAATTTATGTGGTCTTATTGTTTTTAGTTCTTTATATATTCTAGATATATAGAGAAACAGCCAGCAAAGATATGTTCTCATTTTGGAAGTTGTCTTGTCACTCTACTAATTGACTTCTTTTCTATTTAGAAACTATTTGAATTTATGTAATATCATTTGTTCATTCCTGCTGTTATTTCTTATACAATTGCAATTCTTTTTTAGGAAATTCTTTCCTATACCTATGACTTCAAGTGTTTTACCTATTTTATCTTCTAGTACATTCACTGTTTCTTTTAACTGTTTAAATTTTTGATCCATTTTTATTTTAATATAGGACATAGTGGGAGGTGTGTCCAGTTTCAGCTTTCTGCAAACAGATATCCTGTTTTGCGTACACCATTTATTGAATAAACTATCTTTCTCCCAAATTATGCTTTTGGCCCACTTCTCAAAGATCAGATAGCTGAACAAGTCTGGAGATGTTTCTGTATCCTTTGTTCTCTTACTTGATCTGCGTGCCCATTTTTGCTCCAGTACCATGCACTTTTATTACTGTTGCTTTGTAGTGTAGCTTGAAGTAAGATAATGTGATACCTTCTCATTTGCTCCAGTTCCCAAAGGTTGCTTTCTCTATGATGAGTCTCTTCTGGTTCCATATGAATTTTAGGATTGCTTTATCTAGGGTAGTGAAGTGTGCTGCTGTTTTATGATTGGAACAACACTAATTCTGTATAAAAATTTGTAGAATATGACCATTTTTATAATATTAGTTCTACCTATCCAGGAGCAAAACATATCGTTCCATTTGCTGATGTCCCCTTCTGTCTTCTTTTTGGAGTACTGCAATTTTTTCTTTTTGGGTGTAGATCTTTTATTCCCTTGATAAAAATAATTTCTTGGCATTTCATTTTCCTTTCTTCACCTTGAATGGTTTTGATTTTATAACTTCTTTTTCATTGAGTTCATTATTCTTGTACACAAATGGTATTGATTATTTTTTACCAGGGACCAAACTCACGACCTCACACTTGCCAGGTAGGTGCTGTGCCATTGAGCTCTATATTGATGGCTCAATGCTTTTGTGTTTTGAATATTGATTTTGTATCGAGCTACATTACTGAAGTTAGTTATTAATTCTTAGAGTGTTTTGGTGGAATTCTTTGGGTCTTCTATGTCAAGTAGCATGTCATCCTCAAGCAATGATAATTTGATCATTCTTTTCATATATACATCCCTCTTACTTTTTTCCTGATTGATTAATATTTCAAGTACAATGTTGAAAGAATTGGTAATAGTGGGCATCCTCGTATTGTTCTTGATTTTAGAACGAATGCTTTCAGTGCTTCTGATTTAATATACTATTTATCACTTATTTGTCATAAATAGCTTTTATCAAATTAAAGTATGCTTTACCATGACTATTTTCTTCATGGTTCTAGTCATGAAGTGATATTTGATTTGCTGAAAATATTTTCTGCATCTGTTGCTATGACCATGCACTTTTTAAAAAAAAAAAATCTTTGTAGTGTAGCTTGTGATGCTGTGATGTATTATCTTTATTTGTTAGAGTACAACAAGCCTTGCATCCTTGCATCTCTGGGAAACTGCTGGGTCATGATGTATGACTGTTTTGATGATGTGTTGCTTTGTATTCTCTGATATCTTGTTGAGAACTTTTGCATTAATGTTCATTGAAAAGATTGGCCTGTAATTTTTTTGTTAGTTGGACTCTTACCTGATTTTGGAATCAGAGTCATGACTGCTTTCATAAATAAATTTGGAAACACTCTGTCTCTTTCAATTTCTTTTGAGATCTTGAGTGATATAAATGATATATCAGACTTGAAGATGTAAATTCATTAGATCTTGGGCTTATATTTTTAGTTCTAGATTATACAGGCTCAATTTCATTGCTTGTTTTGGGGGGTTCAGCATTTTTGTTTGTTCTTAGGTTAGGTTTGTCAATTTTTATGTGAGTGAAAATATGTAACATTAGTCAAAATTGTCTAATTTGTTTGGATATGAACTTGCATAGTAATTTTTAAAACTTCTGTATTTTGATGATGTCTTTTGTTGTTTCTCATTGTTAATTTCTAATTGCTTTGATTTGAGTCCTTTCTCCATTTTTGATGGTAAGTTTTAGTGTAAGGTTTATCTAATTTTTTTGTTATTCTTTCAAAGAAACATCTGTTTGACTCCTTGATTCTTTGGATTTCTTGTCTTAATTTCAACTTTAATGTTTCTGATTTTTCTCCTTACTATTTGTTTGGTTGGTATTATTGTTTCTCTGCAGTGTATTAAGGATTCTTTTTTTGTTACTTTAATTTTTTTTATTTAAGTAGAAAAGAAAAAAACAGTGAAAGGGTACAAGTTATACAGATTTACAGAAGAAAAAAATGAACAGTAGGAAATCATTAGTTAATGGATTACATATTGCCATCTTAGAAATAATTGTTCAAGTCACAAAATTAAAGCTTGTAGAGTGCATATTCCAACAATGATACTGCAAACAGTTCTGTTCAATGATCCAATAAAACTCTGTGATATCATTTTCTATCTTATACACTTAAATATACATGCAGTTATATAGTTTAGAGCACTTTCTTTTCCTCTCTTTTGTACAATGACTATTACACATTTTGGGTTTCATTGCTCCCACAGTTCTTATTGCTTTTTTGGAAGAGAGTAAAACCAAATGAGACATAACAAAACAGAATCGGTCAAGTCAAAAGGGTGGACATAATAGATAATATAAAAACATAATACAAGGTGATCAACAGTGGTTACCATAATGCCTCCCGCTATCTCTAATAGAATTGCCTATATCATTAGTTATAATACAATTGAACAAAACAGTAAAGAACAAAACCGACAAAACCAAAACATTGGAGACATTGTAGGTCTTCAAAAGTAGATAAAAGTCAACGAGAATGGGCGTTATAATGAATCTCATTATCTTCTCAGCTGATGCCTAAACTTTCAAACCTGATACTATCCAGCAAAACAGAATAGGGGAACATCAGTCAAAAACAAGATGGTGAGAGTAATACAGGGCTTCAAATCGAGATAATAGAAAGTCAAAGTGGGTTACTATATTATATCCTGCTCTTTTTTCCCTTTAATTAAACGGATAAAAATAAAAAAGTAAATAATGGAGTGGAGATTGAGAAAAAAGAGGGCATAACAGCGAAACAGCGCAGATCAAAACATAACCATTTAAGCAGAATAGTGTTTCACCACCAGATAATTCCGACCCAAAAGTAGTTACCATATTGACTCTTTCCTTGAAGTCCTTAAGTACAACTTCGTATACTGTAGCATTAAGTATATCAAAACAATGTAAAACCATTTAAGAGAATGACAGCATTACAGAGTATTTAGAATCGACTAACAGAAAATGAACAATGGTTTCTGTATAATCTCCTTGTCTTTAAAAGGTTTTTGCTTATACTATCGTACATAATAAAATCCAATAAGATACAACCTGTTTAGACCATTGGAGACAGAAGAACAAAAGCTAGATGAGACTTCAAAACAAGATGATACTAAATCAGTATTACCTATTAAGATGTCATTTTCTCCAAAATAGCTGTTCCTATCATCCAATCTTCTCTGTCTCATTTCTGTTGAGCTCTTTTTCTGTCAGTAGCTGTCAGTTTGTCTTCTTCATTTTGTTCTCTGCTCCATTCGTTGTGGCCTCCCCGCCACTATTTCTGGGTTCTTTGTATTTTTCTTTTTTTAGAATATCCTGCAATACTTTCTGTAGGGTTGAATTGGTGGTTGCAAATTCCCCCAGTTCCTCTTTATCCTGGAAGCACCTTGTTTTTCCATCAATTTCCAGAGACAGTTGTGCAAGATATCTCAATCTTGGCTGGAGATTATTATCTTTCAAAGCTTGAATTATTTCCCCCCACACTCTTCGTGATTTGATGGTTTGTGCAGAGAAATCTGCTGTAATTCTGATGGGTGTTCCCTTGTAAGTGGTCTGTTTCTTGTCTCTTACAGCTTTTAATATTCTGTTCTTGTATTGAATTTCTGGAATTTTTATTATTATATGCCTGGGTGTTTCTCTGTTAGGGTTGTAGGTAGCTGGGGTCCTGTATGCCTCATACATCTGAGTATCTTTAACTTTTGCTAAATTAGGAAAATTCTCCTGGATTATTTCTGTGAGTAGCTTTTGTAGTTCACTTGTTTGTGTCCCTACTTCTTCTTTTATGTTCTTAATCCTTAAGTTATGGCTCCTCTTATCATCTTCTTGTCTTTGTGTTATTGCTGTTTGTTTCTTTGTTATTTTTAAGAAGTTTTTCATTTCATTCTCCCATATTACAAGTCTGCCCTCCAGTTCAGATAGTCTGTCCTTAATTTCTTTCAAGCTGTTATGCCAGTCTTGGATAGACTTCTTAATTTCTTGATAGTCCCTTTGAACCTGCTTCACGTACTCTATGCTTTCTCTGTTTTCTCCATCAAACAATTCTCCCCTCTTTTTCTGTTCTTCCATTCCACCATCTGTTTTTTCCTGGGTGGTGCTTAGCATTTCTCTAACTATTCTGCATACTTCTAGCTTCAGGTCGTTGATAACTTCATTCCTGAATTGGTCTATGAGGCTCTCTATATGGCACTTAATGTCTATTGGTGCGGTGTCCGCTATTGCCTGTTTCTCAGAATTGGGGGCCGAGGAGCTTTTCTTGTTGCTTCCCTTCCCCATATTTTCTGTTCCTTATATATATGCAAGCTTACATAGGAGGCCAAGCTTCCCTGCCTGTCAGCCACAGCCTGATCAAATTGCGCTGGCTAGGTGTTCCCGCCCACCGCTGCGCACCAGGGAGTTAAGGACTAGGCAGCCTACGCGGGAGTCAGTCGCCCCTCCGGGCCACTGTCAGGCTCTGGGATCTGGGTTAGGCCAGCCTACCAAGTCCGCCCGCAGTGTCACGCAGGCCATGCACTTTTCACCAATCCCGTCCGAGAGGGGAATGTGTGGCTGGAGTCGCCACTGCGCCCTGCTCTTACAGGACTGCCCGAGCCCAGAAAGTCCTCCGCTGGAGTCAAACTGTGGTAGAGTGTCAGTTTCTCTCACTCACCTCACCACAAGTCAGCGTATGCCTCCTTGTCCGTCCTGTTTTTGACTCCGTTTGCAGACTCCCATTCCCAGAGCTTCTGCGCGTCTCTCCTTGCCGAGCCGCTATGGAGGCAGCCGGCCGCCAAGCGGCGGGAAACCCAAATCGCGGTTTCCAATGGCGCAGGGTCCCACCTCCACACCTAGTCTTTTCTGTTCTTATTTTAGCGCCAGGACTGCATTCCAAGTTGGTTTCTCTCAGCCCAGTTCGTTCCTGAGTCAGCAGAGCATATCTCTACCGGCTCATGTCTCCTTAGTCCGCATCATTCCTGACTTCTGAGCCGAGCCTTTCAGAGAGCCTCCAGTAGTTGCTGTTATCTGTCCGCCATGTTCTCCTGGAAGTCCCGTATTAAGGATTCTTATAAGGTTATTGCTATGGTTTAGTGTCTAGGTGTTACCCAAGGCCTCGTACACTTTTAGATGAGACTTGGTAGCTGAATCTAGAGTTTGTGATTTATTCATAGTTCAATACTAGAATTGAGGGTGCTGCAGTTAAGGGTGCGAGAGTTACACTCTCCCTAGGGCGGAGAGTCTGTGCACAGCAAGAGGCTTGCCCTCTTTCTTGTTTGTTGCTTTTGCTACCATGAACTGTTGTCTCTTTGCCACATGACTCTCTCCCTTATGGCCAGGAGATTATGAACTGAAACCTCCACAAACTGTGACCTAAATTTTCTTACTTAACTTTGGGTGTCAGGTATTTGTCCCAGCAATGGAAAAAGAGAAACTAGGATGTTTATTTATCACAGTATGTTTCATTAACATAAGCATAGCTTGCAATGAACTTCCCTCTTAGGATAGCTTTCATAGTGTCCTCAAAGTTCTGGTAAGTTGTATAATCACTGTGATTAACTTCCAGGAGATTTAAGTTTCTTCCTTAATTTATTATGTGATCTATTGGGTTTTTTGGAGTCATTTATTAATTTTTCAGGTGCTTCTACATTTGCCATGATTTCTTCTGTTGCTAATTTCATTTACAGTGGTCTTATAATACACATTAAGCAATTTCAATTATTTTACATTTACTCAAGCAGGCTTTACTACAACTATGTGGTCTACTTTGGAGAAAATACTGTGTGCTGTGGAAAAGAATGTATAACTGTTTTGTTTTAAAGTGAAATTAAGTGGAAGAAAGATGTGTGTGCAGTGCTAAATCAATTGATTTTGGTTTGGCTTCCTGAGCACTGAGATGTGCCTGGGTGTGGAGGTTTTCAATTCCAAGATGCTCACTGAAGCTTCTGACCTGACAGCCCAAAGCCCAGGAGACATGTTGCTTCCTGTCGGAGCTCAGGAGAAAAATTGCACCAGTCAGACTTCTCACAGTGAGGGAGGAGCATCCTCTTTCCTTACAATATGCTTGTTTTGGAAACTGGATTTGTAAAATCAGATAGCGACATATTAAAGATGGAGCCACTTTTACGGGCACCCAGAGGTTTCCTAGCTCTTACTCTAAACATTTTATATTAAAAAAAACCCACACACAGGAGCCATCAGATGTAGAGACTGTAGTGATAGACAGGTAGCTCTCCACAACCTGAGGAATTGCAAGAGGTCAGCCAGTATCATCCTCCTTGGTTGTTTTGAAAATTTTTGTACATTTTTTCTGTAGTGTAGCACTTCTATACAGTGGAGTACATCTCAGCTATAGGAAGGATAAACTTGAGGCATTTATACACAAATGGATGCAATTTGAGACTATATTCATAAGTCAAATAAGTCAGACTCACATGTATAAACTTCATATTGTCTTCGTAATGTAACATTCTGAAAGTGCAAATAAGATACAACATGCATGATGGATATAATCAGAAAGTAAGAAACTGATCAAAAGTAACAACTGGGTGGGGGAAAGTAGACAAGAAGGGGAAAAATATATACAATAGCTGATATAATTATGCTAATAATTTCTATTAACTCATTGAAAAGAATGATATGTGCTTCTATTGTTTGATCAACTTTGCATGCCTAAATCTTGTAATCTGAGCAACCACTCTTAAGATAACCATACAGAATATATTGATCACTGTTAACTTCTTGTTGTTATGTTTAGAAACTCTATCAGTTTTATTCTTTTTTCTCTTTAACATAAAAAGATGTTTTTAAATCTCAGAGGCCATCTTAAGGGAGCACTAAAGGAAGCCTGAGTATGACAAGTGCAGTTTCAGTGCTTGGAGGCTGCAGGTGTTTCGTGAACTCAGGATCCACCAGTGTCATATGGAGCAAAGGGGGAGAAAGGATATCAGGACACTTGCTCCCAGGACTTTCACAGGGCAGAATCAGGGGGGACCTAAGTTCCTCCATGTGCAAGGCCCCTTCGACACGAATGCAACAGTGGCTCCTTCCTCACCCAAAAGTGAATCAGACCCTAGCAATACCTACCCACTGCCTCAGCCTAATCACATGAGAACCCAATCACCTGGAGGCTTTACCACTGTTTACCTCTGCTCTGGGCTGTGGAGAAAGGCCTGGCATATAACATAAGAAATTCACTCTTTGTTACCAAAGAACAGTATTGGGCACAAACCCTATGACTATACTTAGAATCATGCCTTGTGGCCTTAACATGAAGGATTGTCAGCTGAGAGCCACGCTAGGCTGAAGCTTTGGATCCAAAGCCCAGCTGAATATTAGGATACTATGGAGAACTCAGCACAGGGATAAACCATGACCTTGGGGCTGTGAATAGGCCAGAACCAGGTTGGCTAACATGTCACTCAGAGGACAGTAAGTGTCAGAAATAAGAAGGAAAAATCATCTGAGAGCTAGTTCTCCAGGAGTGGTGTGCTTTGTTTATGTGAGCTTGCTAGTATTCCCTGTGGAGTGAAACACTTGGTTTCTTTTCAACAGAAGTTTGCAGCACATCAGAGTATTTTCTTGATTTCATTTCATTATTGAAAGTGTTTAGAAACCTAAATGAAGTGGAAACCAGGGAAGGAGAAAGTCATAAAGAGAGAAGGACTAGAAATATCTACACCTCTGGAGACTGGCAGCCCACAGACCTCCTGGCATGTGTTTATCTGAAAGCCTAGGAGAAGAAGGAGTACATACCAACCCTCAAAGTGTGACTGAGTCTTCCTCCAGAAGGAGTCCTGGTAGAGACTTGCTACAATGCCTCTGACAATATGGTATAAACCATGGAGCCCGGGGCTAACCATATTACCACCAAATTTTGCATCATCTTCAAAGTTGTATAAAGTTCTTCTTGGACCAGAAGTGTTTGAATAAATGTTTTTAATTATCCGAAGAGCTCAAGAGCCTCCTTTTGTTATTAACTGTGACTGCACTGATACCATCCTTTGATCTAGAATGGCCCCTGAAGTCCGACAATGAAGGTCATTCCCCAGTCTTTGCCATTATTGGGAGGTATAAGTATTTAGGAGGTGAGGCCTAGTGGGAAGAAGTTATGTCAGAGCTATGAGTTTGAAAGCAATAGTGGAACTCATGTTCCTTCTTTTCTTTGCTTTATGGATGCCTGAAAATTAGCTTTTCTTCACCAGCTCCATGCCATGAAGTGCTGCCTCAACACAGGCCCAAAAATGATGGGACCATTCAACCACATACTGAAATCTCTCCAACTCTGAGCCAAAATAAACCTTTCCTCTTATTAAGTTGGTTTATCACAGGTGTTTAACACAATAGAAGAACATTAACACAATTGACTGTGATCAAAAAGTATGAGAATGCGACGCATTTTTAATTTTTAAATATGTGTTAAGATTTATTTGACATAGTGCATGCATAGTCACAGAAATGGTCACATTGCTCTATGCATGACCCAAAAACTGCTCCAGACATTTTACAAGTATCACCTGGTGTAGTCATTTTCAACTAAACATACTTAGGTTTTTCACTTTGTGGTTTTTGTTCTTGATTAGGTCGTTGGTTGGTTTTTTCAGATAAGTTCACACTATGTAGATTTGGTGGAATGCCAACACATTGTGTGTTCCAGGCTGGTCTCGAACTTGTAGCTCTCCTCCCATTTCGACCTCCCGAGTGCTGGGATTATAGGCATGTGATACCAACCTGGCTTCAGCTTTGCACACATTCCATGGATAGTAAAAAAGAATATTAATTCTTGGAAATGTAAAGATGTGAAGGAAAATTGCATAAGGTTTGTCTAACTTCCACATGCCATTATTTCCTTCCCTGACAGCCTCAATGATAACAGACATCACAAGCAGTGCAGAGGAAAGTCAGAGTCCATAATGCACTGAAGTGCTTAAAGCACTGCTTGACCTACAGTGCCCCTCATATTTTAGATTCTATGTTTTCTTATTGACAACAGTTGAATTCTGAGAAAACTGAGCTAAAGCTTCTCACTCTGTGATTGAGTCACCTTAAAATTTACAGTTATTTATTTCTGTTATATAATATTATCACCAAGGCCAAAATCAACCTCAGAGACTTCATGGCCATCATCAAGGAATCAAATAACAAATATTGGCTAAACTGTGGGTTTAAAAACACCCTTCTAAAATGTTGATGGGAGTATAAATACAGCTATGGAAATTAGTACAGAGTCTTCCTACTGTAAGACATGGTAAGAGTACGTAAGATTTTATGTTCGTCATGATTCCCCATAACATTGCTTTGAAGACTTATAATGTTTGCATTCATTAGTTGGAATGGTTATATCATGGTTTTTTAAAAATTTTATTATGTGTGATGGTTTGAACAGCTATTTTGAAGAAAACAAGACATTATGGCAGCCATGGCTGATTTAATATCATCTTGCTTTGAAGTCCTACCATGCTTTTGTTCTTCTATTTCCACTGGTTCTATCATATTGTGTCTTATTGGATTTTAATATGGGTGATGGCATAAACAAATTTTCTATGGAAAATGAGATAATATAGTAACCATTGTTCAATTTCTGTTATTTGGGTCTGAATGCCCGGTAATACTTTCATTCTCTTGTATAGTGTCATACTATTTTGTTATGTTTGATACTCTTGTATGTGAAGGTATACTCAACTATTTCAAAGAAAGAGACATGATGGTAGCTTCTGTTAATATCAAATTATCTTGTAGTGAATTATTGTGTTGCTTACATTGTTCTGTTCTGATCTGCTTTGTCCTGTCCTCTTTCATCTTAATCTCTTTAAAATAAATAAATAAATAAAACCTAGAAATTCCCTTTGAATACATTAGTCCCCTTCTATTTATCTTCCCAGAAGAGTTGAAGACATCATCTTACAGTGATGCATGCAGAGCCACGCTTATAACAGCACAATTCATAACAGCTAAGTTTGGAAGCACTATATGTGTCCATCAGTGGTTCAATGCAGAAGGAAAATGTGGTATTTATGCACAATAGAGTCCTACTCTGCCACAAGGAAAATCAGCTTGAGTCATTTGTAGGAAAAAGGATGCAACTTGAAGCTATAATGTTATTTGAAATACTTAAGACACAAACTTAAATATCACATGATTTCTTTTCTGTGTAGAACACGTGATAAGTAAACAGAAAAATAAAAGATAGACACTAGAAAGTACTGATAGATCCTTCTCAAATAGGAAAAGGACCAAGAGATAAGATAATGAGGGTAGGAAAAGGGTTGAAAAAAAGGAATTAAGATCTGTTATGTATGTGAACTAACTCCACACAAGGAATGTGAACACAATTACTGAACCCAACATGCACTAGTAAAAATAAAAATATGAGAGAAATAAACTTTTCAGATTCAAAACAGAGACATATATTTTTATATTTTTCCCTTTTTTTGTACCCAGGAATTGAACTCACAACCTTGTGCTTTGCCACACAGGTGCTTATGACACTGAACTAAATCCCTGTCCCAGAGTCTTTCATCTCAATCCAAATGAAAGTATATAAAGCTAAAAGTATGAAAGCCTCAGATTTAGCTCAGTGGTTTAAGTGCTTGTCTGGCAAGCATGAGGATGTGAGTTCCCTGATAAAAAAGAAAGGGAAAAAAAAAAAGCTAAAAGGTATGAAAAAAGGGTCTCATGCGCAACTCCTCACAGTAACTATCAAACATTATGCCCCACAGTCATGTACTGGAAACTTCCATAAAGTGGTCTTCCCAACAACTTGTGACCAGCCTCAGGTTTTTGTTTAATTCTTGTGGCCAAGGATTATAGTTTCAAAATATCTGAAGAAATTTTCCTCATTTTCACCTTTAAGAAATTCTCCATGCCTCAACTTCTCTGAATATACACATAGATTACTAAGACATATTTGTTCCTGTTATAAAGCTCTGCTCTTTCCAACTGTATATCACTGTCCTCTGGAGCAAACGTCTCTGATAGTTGTTTAGGTTTATAATAGATACTAAAGTGAATTCCGGACTTTGAATGATTAAGATGTATCAGCATAGGTTCATCAACCTGCCTCATCTAGGGCAGGATGTTGACATTGTGGGAGCCAGGGAGTATTAGGAATCACAGGTGCTTTCTATTTAATATTGTTTTGAACCAAAAGCTGCTTTAAAAATACATGCCATTTAAAAATATGATAGCTGAATCCATAAGAACATAATCTAAGAAGCAAAAAAAATTACAAGTTAACAGGAAGTAGAATTTGATAGAGGCAGCAACTAAAACACAAATGATCACTCCAAGGCATGCTTGAACCTGCCAATATCTCACTTCAGTCCAGAAAAAAGCCTCAGTGAAATACCATCACTGCATTTTGACTAGAACAGAAAACAGGAGGAACTTTGACAATACCAAATATTGGCAGGGTGGTGAAGAAACTGAAGCATTTGTATTGTTGGCAGGGTGAAAACTGATTGGGGTCATTAGGAGAGAGAGAGTAACTTCTCATGAAGCTAAACAGGTACCTAATCATTGGCCAAGACTGTCTATACCTTAGATAATTCAAAACATATGTCTAAGAATAAGAGGCACATAAGAAATCTTGCAGTAGCTTTATTCATAGTGCTCAAAAAATGAAAATAGCTTAGTTATTCCTTAGGAGAAAAGGAAAAACACAACTACGGTATTCATAATGCCCAAAAGGAAGGTAAAAAAATGTGACCAACCAATAGAAAAACCACAAAGTGATATTAAGAGATGATGGACACACATAACATCAGGGAACTTCTAAAACATTATGTTTTAGTGAAAGAACACTTACACACACGAGTACATATTATGTTACACTTTATGTGAAAATCTGGAGCATGCTAAACATTATATTGGAAAGTTTAGGACTGTGGAAAGGTACAAAGGATCATGGATGAACCTATGAAGGTGGCGATGTTTTCAATTTTATAGAAATTCCTGAGGTGTAGCTTTATGTACTCTTTAGATTCAAACAATAAACACACAAGAGTCTGAAGTGTGTAAATCATACACAATAGGAAGTTTGATAGATGCAAATCACATCAAAAGAAAAAGGTATGCAGAAATCACTGAACACTATCTAGTAAGCACACGCTGAAGCATTAGGGAGGCTTTGTATCCATGTCTCAATTTAGTTAGAAAGACATCTGTTTTAGTTAATTTCTCATTGCTGAGTAAAACATCCAACACTCGCAAGTTAAGGGAAGAAAAGTTCATCTTAGTTCAACATCTGTGAAGGTTTCAGACAATAGTCAACAGGCTCCAAGGCAGGGTAGCATGCCAGAGGGGCCAGAAACAGTGCCCAGGGGTGTTCTGTAAGGTATCCTCACAAACAAACTAACTATATCATCAAACATTCAGTATTCATTTTTCAAGAACAGGTCATCAGTCACAGAGTTTCAAGTGCATACACCTCCTATGAAAGGAGGACAAGCTCTGCTCACAGGTGGCAGGTGGGGGTCATCATACACACTTCATCAGGAAATGCCTCTCCAAACACAAGGAAAGCTTCAAGAGCAGGATGAAAAGGAGACACACAAAGGCAGAGAAGTGAGGGAGAGAAGTGGACCCAGAATACAAGGAAGATCCTGGTGGAACCTCATAAAACTACCTGAGAGGGACAGATCACAGTGCATTTAATGTAAGCTGTTAGAAGAATGAGGGCAAGACAGATGTCAGCCTCCAAGATTAACCCATCCTCCAGACACACTCATGGTCCCAGTGGTCAGCCCAGGTTCCTGTGTATTGGGCCGGTGAATGCTGCCACCTTCCAATCCATGGAAGATGTCATGGATTCATATCTCAGTATAATGAGATATACATGAACTGTGATTGTCATGTATTATTCTGGACCACATAGGTACTGAGCTGCTGGTAACCACTGAGGAGCACAGTCACAAACATATATACAGACAGACAAGAACTGCATATAGCAGATCAGGTGATAAAATGTCTCTCATCTGGAATCCCCCTGTCCATATATTACCCATCCATGGCACCTCCTAAAACCCATCATCAACCAGGTTCTGGGAAGGATACTGGGCAACTATAAAAGAAACCTGAAGGAAAACAAAGGACATAACAACACATAGGCCAAAGAGAAGATTGAGTTTAAGGTCTATCCTTAAAGGAAGAAGGAGAAGGCATAGAGTCCCAGATAAGAGATAGCAATAAGGGTAACAGACTCAGAGACACAGCTCTCAGGTCATTTAAATGTAACAGCCAGACTAAGCAGACTGAGCAGAGCTCTCCTCATGGAACATAAAACAGGAAGAGTAGAATGGACCCTGCAGCGCTCAGCAGTGACTCTGCTGCTCCATTTCTTCTGTCTCCTCCCCACAGTCTTCCTCAGGATCTTCAGCATCATCATAACCCTCTTCCAGCACGAGGTTTCCAGACAATGAGAGTGTCTCCTCTTTCTTCTCCACAGGAAGAGCTTCAATGTCCTCATACACACCCTCTGAAGGCAGGTGCTCTGACATTCTAGAACCTGTCAAGGTCACATGAGACTTTTAAGGACCACCCAGCATTGTATCCTGCATATTATATCCTGATGCACACTGAAAGCCCTGGCCCCTCTGAATCAGCCCCTTGAGAGTAGTGATCCTCCCTATGGCTAAGCAGTCACACAGGGCAGGGCATGATGGTGTGGCTTAAGGATCTCAGCCCCTGAACCTACTCCGGAGAACACCAACTGAGAATGGCAACACAATGAACTGTTATGAAACCCTTTGTGGCCCAGAGGTGGAGACTGTAAACATCAACTCATCTGAGAAACAAAGAGACATACAAGTACAGGTTCCTCAACTTTCTGTGGGTACAAACAGTTAACAAGCATTGGCTAACAGGATGACCAACACAGGGAGGGTCCTCCTTTGCTGGGACATCCCAAGAATCACCTCCCCTCTGTTGGCAGGGACTCTGTTTCTGTGTCCAACCATGCACACATACCCATGAAGGAAAGCATGTGGCGGCTCCGCTGAACACCGAGAAGTAGGAAGATGAGGCCCAACAGGCAGCCAAGAACCAGACAGGCAATCTCAGGCAGGGTCCAGGGCTCAGCCACAGATGCAGGAGCCAAGAAAGGAGCTCCTAGGGCACAGAGAAGGGCAGGGCTTCCTGTGTGCCTTAGAGACTGCAACCATGCCCTTAGATTAACCTCAGCACTTGAGGAGGATGGTGCAGTCCCCATGGGAAGTAGACATCATTACTACCTGGGCAAGCTGATGCTTTCCCAGGTGTGGCCTAACTTTACAAGCAACAGCAGCCCAAGTGCAGGTCTTAAGTGCATAGGAACAAGTAGAAAGTCTAGGTGAAAATTCTAAGTAGATTTCTTACTCTAGGTAGGGTTAAGGTAGGAGAACTTAGACAGATGTCCCAAAGGTATACAAAGGGACATCTCTGATGGCATTCAGTAACCCTGTGCTCATCTATACCTTGGAAAAAAGCCACAATGTTCAAGAGGGTATAGCACATGAAACCAAACGTCATAGTCATGGAAGGAAATCCCCTGAGATGGTGGTGTTCTCAACTTAGGGTCTCTGCCCCACCATGGAATCCCCACTCAGATGGACAGAGAGGAGAATACTTGGCAAATACTGGGTGCACAACTCCATGGGACTGGAACACATGAAGGTAATCTGACTGGCACGTGGTACCATCTTGCCATGATGGACAGGAGAATGGGGAATGTGAGATAATCACCTACCTGATACTGAGGTAACTGAGAGACAAGCAGCAAAAATGCAGTCTTGATCACTCGTATGATGTGGATGGCACTAAGGTATCAACCTGCTCACATCTAATAGTAGCGTCCCAACCCACATGGCAGTCCAACAGGACAGGGAAGAAAGAAGCCCATGCTTGAAGCATCAAGTAGGACCTCACATCACAAGGCCCAGACTAGAGGGCCTGGTTCAGCTGAAGGAGCAGACAAATGAGTTACTGTCCCTGTGCCCCTCTCACCACCCCCATTCTCCCCACACACTCACCAGAGCACCTCACTCCTGCATCTTCCTTGTGATCACAATCTCCAAATCCCAGTGGTTCTGTGGGACAGTCCAACAGGAAAGCCTCACTTCCACGGCACCTCACCTCATCCAGCCACACAGGTCCTGACCCAGGACCAAAGGCAGCCCCCTGCGTGGCATTCACTGCCTGACCACAGCCCAGCTGGCGGCACGCGACTTCTGCATCTGCCAGGTCCCAGGAATCATCACACACAGTGCCCCAGGAGCCCATGTGCCAGAGCTCCACACGCCCTGAGCAGTCGTCATCACCGCCTCGCAGGCGCAGTGCACCCTCCTCTAGAAAAGAGGACAGTGTTTAGCTCAGGAACCAAATGGGATGGGCGGGTAGACCATGACATAGAAAGAGGGGTACCTGGGCAACTGAGCGTGAAGGAGCAGTTAAGGGTCTGCTCAGGATCCTCAGGAATTTCTCCTTTCTTTCCTGCGTGTGAAAAGAAGACCCATCTCAGTATTCACAAGCTCAGTAGCTCACACTCTGTGAAATAGTTTTGCTCCTTCCCTGTGTCTCTATAACAAGGAGCTTTTGTTCCCAGAGAAAAAGAAACGTCTTTGTCAAGGGAGGATAACGAAACAGGCAGAGTGTTCCACACATAGGTTTCCTGGTAGGTGTCCTCAGAAGAGGCCCAGGTGCCCAGGAGTCCCCCACTGAGAAAAAGCCAAGGACTGAGGTTACACATACCCTATGACACCCCACAGCCAACTCTGAACCTCATGAGGGTAACCATCCTTCACACCCACACACACCTACACATACTCTGCTGCTCACCTGCACACAGGACCCAGGCCTCTTCACTGCTAGAGCAGGAATGCTGGTCCCACGGGGTTGAAGGACACTGCCACAGGGACCTGTCATGCTTGGGCCTGCACTGAATGGAAGTCAGCCAGAAAACTGCAGGGGAAGGCCAGCTCTCTGGCCTTGCCAGCAGCTGCCCTTGGGGCTCACAGCCCAGCTGGCCACACAGGAGGCCCAGGGAGGCAGGGTTCAGGATGTGGCAGACTCCACCCCAAGTCCCACTGTAGAAAACTTCCAGCCGCCCAGCACATGGCTGTCCATAATTCTGCAGCCTAAGATCTGTGAATTCTGTAGACAGAGAGGCCAGTTGGCAAGGAGGACAAGGGAGGATAGGGAGACGCAAGACAGAAGGAACCTTAGACCTACCTGTGCAGAAGACCCCAGCATCCTCTTTGTGCCCACAATCGTGCTGTCCCCACCCTGGCGATGGGCAATGCCAAAGTGCAGACTCATTGCCCAGGCAGCTCAACTCATCCATCCAGATTGGCCCGGATCCTGATCCGAAGTAGGCAGCCCCTGGTGCACTCAGGGCACGGCCACAACCCAGCTGCTCACAGACCACGTGTGCGTCCTGCAGGTCCCAGGCGTCGTCACACACAGTGCCCCAAGTGCCTGCCTGCAGCACCTCCACTCGCCCAGCACAGCGGCCAGGGCCCCCAGCCAGCCGCACCTGAAGGCTCCCTGAGAAGAGGTTGAGTAAGGACCTGCCAGGCTTTGTGAGGCCCAAGGCAGGGGAAGCCTAGAGCACAGACTCACCAGAGCACACCACACCCACATCTCGTGAGGTCCCCACAGGCGCCAGCAGGGTCACAGACACATTGCACTGGGTCAGGCTGGTCTCCGAGCCCTCGCAGTGCACCTGGCTCAGCCCCACAGGAAGGACTCCATGGCCAGGGGCTGATGCATCATAAGCTTGCTCCGCCTCTCCACACCCAAGCTGCCTGCACACGACGCTGGCATCACGCAGGTCCCAGGCGTCATCTAGGACGCGGCCCCACACTCCATCCAGCGAGACCTCCACACGACCATCACAACGACTCTGTCCATCCCTGAGTCTAAGGGCTCCAGCAAGACCTAGCAGGGGAAAGAAGGCACTGTGGACCATCGAGGATCCAGTGCTGCTGACTGGCAAGCAGTTAGCTGTCCACCTATCACTGTCCCTGAATTTCTCTCTGAACCCTCTTTATTTTCTGTGTGTCTCACCTATTTATTCTCTTTCTTGTCCCCTAACTACCCTCAACTACAGTCCCTCCTGTCTGGCCTACACCATTTTAACTCACCTAATTTAACTCATTTTGTTCATATATGAGCTAATGATTGCCCATCTAAATAACTCCCTCTTGTGCCCATGGTCCAGCTCCCAGCCTGAGTCCACCCAGCTGTCCATCATTCACACACTGCATAGATCACACCCACCTGAGCAAGAGGCAGAGGCAGCATTTCCTTTGGCACAGGGCTTCGCACCCAAAGTGCTGGATGGGCAGCTCAACAAATGGGGCTCTGTCCCCACACAGTGGAGCACATCTGGCCAGATGGGAGCATCTCCAGTTCCAAAATGGCCTCCTCGTGGTATGGCAGCTGCACTCCCACAGTTGAGCTGGTGGCACAGGACGCTGGCATCTGCTAAGCTCCAGTGGGCTGCACAGAGGGGTGCCCAGACTCCCTGCACCTGGAGCTCCACACGGCCCTCACAGGGGCTGCTGCCATTGACCAGCCGGAACTCTGGGGAGATGCGGAGTCAGTGAGACTCCAGACACCTGACCCAAGACTCTGATGTATGTGAGATTTCTAATACATGGTGCATACCCGTTTCCACAGACAGAAACTACAGGCAAGAGGACAGCTTTGCCAAATGGTATCACTGAAAATCAGGCTATGACACTACAATATCCATGCCTGTGCTGTTGCAATGAGTAAGCAGTGGAAACTCGAAATCAGCTGTGTTAGAATACTGAGTATGGGAGATCTCTGGTGAGATCCTGCTATTGGCCATAAATAAATTAAAACTAGGCAGAGTTTACATAACATGGTAATAGTCAGTGGTGGTCACAGCACAGAATTAATCTGCAAAGAACAGGGGATCACGTTTTCTCTGGCATTTGAAGGAAATTTCTGTCAAGTCACTCACTAAGAATTATGCTTCTGAACAAAGACATCAAGAGTCACACAAGAAAGAAGACACTGTATAAAAAAAATTAGATACCTGCTGTACAAACCACCAAAGAACAAGAAACGTTGTATGTGGGGGATAACCGATTTCTAGAGTTTCTATAGTACAATGTTCAAATTACCCAGGTTAACTCAAACGGTCAAGGCGGGAAAAATACCCCAAGGCATGGTGCAGCACAAACTGTCCACAAGGTATCTCAAGCATTGGACTTACTGGAAAAAACATTAAAATAGCTGCCTCAATTCTGCTGTGACAGCTACAACAGAGCATGAACAATAGTAAAGAAAATGCCAGTACAGCAACATCTGACCAACAAAATTCCAGTAAGCAGATACTTATAAATGAATACTAAAAGAATTCTGTCTACAACGTACAATATCTGATATAAAAATAATTACTCAAAGTGTCAAAGGGAATAGTAGTGGCATTCAGTGTGGCTAGACGGAAGGAAGAATTGAATGTTAAAACAGAATGATTGAGATGATGCCAAATGAGCACTGCCTAAATTAATTGTGGGGTATCAACAGCCTGACCAACATACTCAGCAGGGAAGTCCTGGAAGAAGAGAAAAATGGATAGGGACACTATGTTAAATACTCAGGACAAAAACTTACTAAATTTTATTAAATACCTGACTTTGTACATCCATTAAGCTTAACAAATACATAGTAGGAAACACTCCAAGAGATGTACAATGAAATGCATTATAAACATTTGTTAAACATCAAAAGAAATGACATGAGTATGTTTTGGAAATATCTGCATTCTCGTGTCCATTCCAGCATTAGTCACAATGTGAATCCACAATTCACAAGAGACATGGAAAATCCTAAATGTCTCTCAGTGATGAATGGGTGAAGACAATGTGGCCTATATATACAGTGTAATACTATTAGTATCTCAAAATAAAGAAATTCTGTTCATCCTAATAGGTAAACTAGGAAGAAGTGTGTTTTATTATGTGGCCTGGCACAGCAGATAATTACCACATGAACTCACCTATCAAGGAAAGTCTATTAGAATCACAGCAGACTTTTCAGCACAAACCTTCAAGTTAAAATGAGCTTGGAGTGAAGCATTTGAAGCCCTGAAAGAAAACAACTTTCAACCCAGACAGATGTACCCAGAAAAACTGTCTTTCAAATTTAATGGTGAAACAAGATATCTCCATGACAAAGAACAACTGAAGAAATTCATGTCCACCAAACCAACCCTGAAAGACATACTAGATAGAGATAAAAATGATTACAATCTCCAGAACAACAACAGAAACAAACCACCATGGGACTGAATCAAGGCCAGCATCTTCCTGACGCTGTTGGTTTCAAGCAGGAGTCTAAAGAGATGTCTTTCTATGATCTGTTGGCCATTTCAGAATGGCCATTAGAAAGAAACAGCTTAAAACAACCCCTCCCACCCATCCCTCCCCTCCATGAGTGGCTGTGAGTATGGCAGGCTGCAGCAGCCCAGGAGAGCAACCACCAGTGTTTACTGGGACCCGTGCCATGCTGGGACCTGCAGCGCTGGGAAACCAAGCAACCCTTCCCCACCTAGTGAGCAGCTGTGAGCCTGCCAGCATCCAAACATCACACACACCCCCACTCCATTAGCAAGTGGGAGCCAGTGATCTGGACATCCCTTGAGAGCTTGACCATAAGCAATGTAGCAAATAGGGGGGATTTCCTTCTTCCATCTCTTTGAAAGCAAATACTTGTATCCCTGTTTTTCTTTGTTCTAATTAATGATGTTATTTTAGCCTGTTTTGTTTTGTTGAACTTCAATATACATGAAAGTATGGACAGCTATTTTGAAGAGAATGAGAGACTCTACAATAGCCATTAGTGACTTCCCTATTGTCTGGTTTTGAAGACCTAAAACACATTCTTCATTCTGTTTAGATCAGCTTTATACTATGTTGTTTTGTATGAATTCATTGTATGCAAAGACATGGACAACTATTTGGAAGAAAACAAGAGACAATTTGATAGATAGTGAAGATCTCAGGTTGTCTAGCTTTGAAATTTATATCTCTTACATCACTTTCTTATGTCCTATTTTGTTCTGTTTTGTTTGTTTAATTTTACCCCTTTAAAATAAAATAAAAGAAATTTAAAAAAGAGAAACTACCAGGCTGGACAACAAACTAAACAAGGGAGAAAATCAGGAAATCAACGATAGGAGCACAACATGGCAAAGTCAAGCCAGTACATGTCAGTGATATCCATAAATGTAAATGGGCTCAATTCACCTATCAAAAGAAACAGGTTGACAGAATGGATCAAGAAACAGGATCCCACAATATGCTGTATACCAGAAACATATCCAACTCAAAAAGAAACTCATAGATTAAAAGTCAAAGGGTGGAAAACAGTATTCCATGCAACAGGAACTCAGAAAAAAGCAGATGTAGCTATTCTGTTCGCAAAGTGAACTTCAAACCTAAAAGGATTAAAAGAGATAAAGAAGGCCACTACACACATGTAAGTGGAAAACTACAAGAGGAAGAACAAACAATTATAAATGTGTGTGTGTGTGTGTGTGTGTGTGTGTGTGTGTGTGTGTATCAAATACAGGAGCATCCAACTATGTATGACAAATACTAATGGACATGAAAAACAAAATACATGAGAACACAATTATAATAGGAGACCTTAACACTCACTGTCACAAAAAGATAGATCAACTAGACAAAAAGTCAGCAAAGAAATAACAGAACTGAATCATACCTGTGAGTGAATGGACATAGTGGATGTTTACAGAGTGTTCCACCCAACCACATCAGAATATACAGTCTTCTCCACTGCATATGGGACATTCTCCAAAATAGACCATATATTATTAACACATAAAGCATGCTTAAATAAATGCAAAGGGAGCAAAATTATCCCATGTATGACATCTGCCAATAGCACACTAAAATTGGAAATGAATGGCAAAAAACCCAGCATAAATAAATGGAAATTAAATAACAACCTTCTGAATAATCAGTGGGTTACAGATGAAGTTAAAAAAGAAATAAAACAATACCTACAATACAATGAAAATGCAGATACAACATACTGTAACCTATGGGATCCAATTAAAAGTAGTCCTAAGAGGGATATATATAGCAACAGCAATAAATAGTCATATCAACAAAGTAGAACAAACAAAATAAATAACCTAATGCTACAACTCAAGCTTCTAGAAAAGGAAGAGCAAGTCAACCCCAAAGATCATAGAAGACAGGAAATTGTAAAGATTAGAGCAGAAATTAATACAATTGAAATTTAAAAAAATACAAAGAATTAATGCATCAAAGAGCTTGTTTTTTGAGAGAATAAGAAAAATTGATAAACTCCTAGCCAATCTTATCAAGAAAAAGAAAGAAAAAACTGAAATCCATGCAACAAGGACTAAAAAGAAGGAAATTACTACTGATTCCATGGAAATTCAAAAGATCATGAACACCTACTTTGAAAATCTCTACTCACATATGGTGGAAAACACAGAGGAAATGGACAGGGTTCTAGGAACATATGAACTACTAAAGCTAACCAAGAAGATACAGCAATTTTGAATAACCCAATATCAGCTACTGAAATTGAAAATGTGATTAAAAACATACCAAGAAAGAAAATCCCAGGTCCTGATAGATTAATAGCTGAATTCTATAAGAAATTTAGAGAAAATTTGATGCCAATACTCCTTAAGCTCTTCAATGAAATTGCAAGAGAAGCAGTCCTCCCTAACTCATTCTTGGAGGCAAGTATCACTCTGATACCAAAACCAGAGAAAGACCCAACCAAAAAGGAGGACTATAGATCAGTCTCACTAATGAACATTGATGCCAAGATTTTCAAAAAATATTGGAAATGCAATGCAGCAAATCATCAAGAAAATTATATGTCATGATGAAGTGGGATTTATTCCAGAAATTCAGGGATGATTTAACATATGCAAATCAATACATGTAATACAGCACAGAATCAGAGCTAAAAAGAAAAATCACATGATCATCTCAATAGATGTAGAAAAGGCTTTAGATAAAACCAACAGCTTTTCATGATTAAAAACCTACAGAAACTCAGAATAAACAGTGTATGTACCTCAATCTCATAAAGGCTATGACAAGCCAACAACCAACATTCTACTAAATGGACAAAAGCTGAAAGCCTTCACTTTAAAATCAGGAATAAGACAAGGATGTCCACATCACCACTCCTATTCAACATAGTTCTGGAAATATTAGCCAGAGCAATCAGACAAGAGGGAGAAATAAAAGGAATAAGGATAGGAAATAAAGAAATAATATTATCACTATTTGCAGATGACATACTTCATACTTCATACTTTACATAGAAGACCCCAAAAACTCCATTAAAAGACTGCTAGAAGTAATAAACAAATTCAGCAGCATAGCTAGATACAAAGTCAACACTCAAAAATCAATAGCACTCCTGTACAGCAAAAAAAAAAAAAAAACCTCAGAGAAAAATTGTGGAAATATAGCCTTTCACAATAGCACCTAAAAAAAAATGAAATGCCTAGGAATCAACCTAACTAAGAATGTAAAAACCTATATGATGAAAATTATGCTACTCTAAAAAAGGAGGATGAAGAGGATGTTAGAAAATGGAAGGATATTCCTTGCTATCGGTTAGGAAGAACCAACATTGTGAAAATGGCTATACTTCCAAACCTGTTATACAGATTCAATGCAATCCCCATCAAAATACCATTAACATACCTTAGACAGGTAAAGAAAATATTCCTAAAATTCATCTGGAAACAGAAGAAACCTAGATCAGCAAAAGCGATTCTGGGCAACAGAGGCAAGACAGGAGGCATCTCAATTTCTGACTTGAAACTACACTACAGAGCCACATTGATAAATTCAATGCGGTATTGGCAAAGAAATAGACCTGAGGATCAATGGAGCAGATTAGAAGATGCAAACACAACTATAAAGACACTCAGCCACCTTATATTTAACAAAAGGACTAAACAAGTTCACTGGTAAAAAGATAGCCTCTTTAATAAATGGTATAAATTGTGTGGGAAAAATTGGCTTTCCACACGCCAAAGACCAAAATTAGACCCATGCCTATCACCATACACTAAAGTCAAAATGGATCAAGGATCTAAATATTAAAACACAAACACTAAATCTACTGGAGGATAAGATAAGTAAAAATCTTGGAGACATAGGGGTAGGCAGAGAATTCATGAATAAAACACAAACCACAGGGGAAACACTTCAAAGAATCAACAATTGGGGTCTCATGTTACTAAAAAGTTTTTGCACTTTAAAAGAAATCACAAAGAAATGAAAAGAAAACCCATAGAATGGGAAAGAATTTTAGCAAACAATTTCTCAGACAAAGACATATGTCCAGAACATATAAAGACCTCAAAAATATCAAGCCCACCAAATTCAAAGACCCCCCCCTCCAAAAATGGGCATCAGAGGTGAACACACAGTTCACAGATGAAGATATACAAATGGCAAATAAATACATGAAGAAATGTTCACCATCACTGATCATTCGAGAAATGCAAATTAAAGCAGCATTGAGATTTCATCTCACTCTGGAAAGAATGCTGCCATCAAGAAATCAACTGATAACAAATGTTGGCGAGGCTATGGGGAAAAAGGAACATTTCCCCACTGTTTGTGGGAGTGCAGACTGGTTCAACCACTATGGAAGTCAATACGGAGATTCCTCAAAAAACTAGTATTGGAAGTTCCATTCAATCCAACTATTCCCCTCCTGGGTATTTGCCCAGAGAAATTGAAAAGTTCATGACAAAGTGATATATGTTCACCCATGTTCATAGCAGCACGATTTGTGATAGCTAAGTCTTGGAAACAACCAAAATGCCCATCAACCACAGAGTGGATGAAAAAAATGTGTATTTATGCAATGCAATACTATTCATCCATAATAAAGGATGATCTTGAGGCCTTTATACATAAATGGAGGCAACTTGAGAATATCCCAATTGGTGAAATAAACACGACTCATATTACTAAATATCACGTTGTCTCTCTAGTATTAAAAAATAATAAGAAATGAAAGAATAATGGGATCCCAAAACTATAATAGATATTGTAAAAGTGAAAGGGAAGGAAGTGCTCTATAGGACATAACAGTATGAATAGCGTGTAAGATAGATGACCGTATTACTAAATTTCTATTATATCACTGAACAGAAGAGATTGCACTCTCAATGTTTGAGTGCCTAGCCACTTGTTATGCTTTGATTTCGTAACCTTAACAACTATTGATAAGATGACAATATGTAATCTGTTAACTAGCGATTTTATGATGTTAATTTTTTAAATTCAGCCTTCTACTTTTTTTCTCATTTTTTCTATTTTGTTTTTTTAATTTTCTCTTCCTTCCTTTTTTCTTTTTTTAAATAAATATTTTTAAAAAGAAAATACTAGGAAATCTAGTCTGTTAGTACACCAAAAGTGATTTTACACCAATACTAAGTGGGATTTATCTCAGGAATGCAAATATGACTCATAATACACACCAACAGAAAGAACCAGCACAGTAAAGAGATATACTAAAGAGTAATACAAAATATTTGTAAACTATTCATCCAGCAGAGGGTAATTATGAACAATATCCAGCAATGGGTAAAGATCCACAAGAGAAGGTACTCAACTCAGCTGCAATAAACCAATTCAGGTTTGGGACAACAGTTTAATGAGGCAAATGATCCATATAGATATTTCTCTCCCAAAAAACCACACAAATGACTACCAGGTATATGAAAAAATGCTCAACTTGATTCGTCACTGGGAAAGTACACAAAACATGATGAGATCTCATCTCACTCCTGTTAGAATGACTATTAACAAAAGACAACAGATAAAAATGTGGACAAGTATGTAAATAAAAGAAATTTTTATGCTGTATGGATGGGAATATAAATTAGTACAGTCATTATGGAAAATGGAATTTGGGGTCCTCAAAACCCTAAAAACAGAACTGCCATATGACCCAACAATTCCACTACTATGCACATTTCCAAAGGAAATCAGGCATGTGGAAGAGACATATAAACTCACACACTCATTTAAGCACCATTCACAATGACCGAGAACTTAAATCAGTCTAGGTGTCCATTGATAGAGGTATGGTTAAAGATAGAGCTATGATGGTATATAAAAAAGAAAACAATGTGTGTATAGACACTGTAATATAACCTTGCCATTAAAAAGAACTGAAATTCTGTAATTTCCAGCAACAAAGATGGAACATGGGGATGTTAGTGACTTACTTCTAATAATCACTTACTATAGAGTCCAGACAGAAACACATACATGAGCCTTCAATCTGTTCTTGATAAAGTGTAAGGAGACTGCTCACAATAACCAAGATATAAAATTAGCCCGAGGACAATCAGTGGATGAATGAATGTGGAAAGGGTTATACAGAATCCACCAAAACAAAATGTATACGCATTTTAGGAAATAAACAGTATGTTTTTTCAGGAGATGGTGTTACCCTCATATGTGGAACACATTAAAGGATGTCTTATATCACAGAAAAGCCACAATGCTACCAGTCCATAGAGAAGAAATTAAAAATATATGTGTAGCAATCTCAGTGACCAAGGTTAGCCAAGCAGCAGTTCACTAACAAATTTCTAGAAGATAATACCCACCACTATGAGTACTTCTTATAACTGCAGAGGCCAAGGGTAACTTATACTAATTTCAAGCCATCTTGATAAATTTAGTATTAAAATATTCTTACAAGTTTGTCTGTTCTTGAAATGTGCATAATTTTTGTTCACATTTGCATGGAAATGGATGTAACTAGAGGATATCATGGTAAGTAAAATAGCCAGACACAAAAACATGACCTGAAAGTAGAAGACAAATACAAAAGACTAAAAAAGAAGTCAAGGGAATTGACAGGAAAGGGAAAGGGGGATGATAGAATAGGGAGGTTAATCTATTAACAGGTGATTTCTTACTGTTATGTTTTTTTTTTGTAGTTATGTATTATGTGTAACCTTACACTGCTTTGTTTTGTTTTGTGTTTTTCTCTTTTTCCTCTTAAATAAAAAAAAAAAAGAATAGGGAGGTTAAACATGATCAGTGCTCTGTGTATCCATTTATAGAAATATCACAGTGAACCTGATCCATTTATACAATTAACATGGACTAATGTTTTAAAATGCCACCACATATATTGAAGAAGGAATGATCTCTTCAACAAACAGCACTGGGAGACCAGGTATACACGTGGAAAGACTGAAGCTGCCACTTTTCATATAACACATAAGAAATTAACTCAGAATGGCTCAAGACCCTAGACACAACACAAGGGACAAAAGTCTTAGCACAACGTACAAATATGAAGCCTCAACCTTTGGCCTAGGCAATTATATTTATAGATTGTTACTGCACTTAATCAAAATTAAATCCTTATATGTATTAAAGGGTACTTTCAAAAATTAATAAAACAGAATGGGAGTGGTGATATAGGGATAGCTTAGCAAGCACACAGAAGTGAGTTTGATCCCTGATACCAAAAAAATAAAAAAACCCAGAATGGCAGAAAATGTTTTCTACTCACATCTTTCTAAGGTCCTGCTATTTACAATGCATTTTTAAAATTCACAACAGTGGAACAAGAATGCAAGCACTAATCTCTGATGTGAATGAAGGACACTGATTAAACCATCTCTGAAGATGGAATAAATATGTGTAAAGCAGAAGAAATGGGAGGGAATGTTGAGCTGAGCTCTCCCCCTGCCTACTGTCCAAAATCGTCCCAGCCCAGTCTCCTTCCAGTCTCCTGCCCCTGACCAACCCCACAGCCCAGACCCCACTGGGCCCCATGACGACTCACTTTCTCCCGAGCACCTGAGCCCAGCATCCTGCTCATGGGTGCACTGACTCCCAGGCTCCCGCCGACAGTGGAAGAGCAGAGACTCGTTGCCCACACAACGGAAGGCCTCCATCCACACGGGCCCTGAGCCCTGGCCGAAGTGGGCAGTTCCAAGTGTGGACACGGCCTTTCCACACTGCAGCTCCCGGCACACCACATGGGCCGTGGGCAGGTCCAGGTCAGCATCGCAGACTGTGCCCCACGTCAGGCCCCTCTGTACTTCCAGGCGCCCAGCACAGGGGTCCTCGCTGCCAACAAGCCGAGCTTCCACATGTCCTGGGGGCAGAAGCTGGACAAGAGTATCCAAAGCAGGACAGACTCTACATGGAACATGGGGATGAATATCCCTTGCCACCCACCACCCAATCCCACATGGAGGAATAAAGGAGGAGGACTCAGGATCTAGCCCCCAGGGTGCCAAGACCCAGAGGAAGACTTAAGGTCTGAAAAACAAGGACCTGACACTGGCCCTTGGATCTTAGTTGGGCCCTAGCTACTGAAGTGATTGCCATGAAGAACTTTCATCTGGAAATGAGACAGGCCTCTGGAACCCCTTAGACAGAGGTAGCCAGCACTGCCCCCTCAGGCCTTCACCTCATAAGCACCAGCTGGACAGGACCACAAGGTGAGCAGCTGAGCTACAGTAGCATCCCCAGAGGGGAGAGCTCCTGGCATTTCAGCCACAACACAGGGGAAGAACTTTCCCTTAATACTGCCTGTGTGCTAGGAGCAGATATCTTAATTTCTTTGTTCATACACAGAAAAGAGTCCCGTGCTCTAGGTGGGGTGACCCTACCTGTGCACACCACCTCAGTGTAGACTTGAAGATCACACTGTTCTACAAAGTTTCTGTTGATCTTGCAGTGGAAAATGCTGGGCTCTGTTCCCTGACAGCTCACATATCTCTGCTCTTGGACACCAAGGAGCCCTCCAGGGTGGTCTCTGAACCACTGCAAAGCGGTGCCACATTCCAGTTCTCTGCAAAATACACCTGCTTCCTCCTTTTGCAAGGCACACCTCAGAATATCATTTTGCATCTTCATTACCTCAGGGATCCCAGCACAGGGGCTGCCTCCTCCGATCAGCCCAATTGGCCTCACAATGCTATCTGATGATAAAGAAGACAAAGAGGGTTCAGCCAGTCTCTGCCCAAGGCACACATGCAAAGGCTGATCACAGACTGGATTTGGCCTAAAAATAGGGCATTTGCATGATACCTGGTTGCTTCCCCACCCTGTGCTCATTCCTTGGGAGATCTGGAGTGACAGATCCCGTCTCAGGACTCTGTGTCATGGTCGGAGTGTGCATAGCACAGAAAAGAGCTTATAGGGAACCTGGATCAAGGCATCCCAAAGTGATGACCAGTAGGACAACAAAAAGAAGCATATTTCTGCAACTAATTTATAAACCAAGGGCATTTAGAAACCAGGTTAAACATCAGTGAGAAGAGGCTGCAGGAGAGTGACCACTGAGATTGAGGATGGAATAAGAAAGGCCCCAATTAATTCTTCAGCAAGAAGATACCCCAGAATCCCAAAGATCCCATGGAAACTAGGTGCTCAGATGTGGCTCAAACTCTCCCTCATCCCTGGACTAAGGACAAAGGACTAAGTGCCTCTGGAACCTATCAGCGGATAGGGGACCCGAAAAAAGAGAATCCAGGTGTCACTGTCCAACCTACCTGAGCACCAGACAATTACCACACACTGGCAATTACAGCCACTGATGGGCCCCCAGTCACCCAGGGAGCACTGCCAGAGAGAGGCCTCCTCACCCTGGCACTGGGCACCATACAGCCAGGGTGGCTGTATGTCTTTGGGCATCAAGATATGTTGAGGGGTATATAGTGCCCTGCTGCAGTTGAGCTGTCTGCAGATCACCGAGGCCTCTTGCATGCCCCAGCGGTCCCCACACACCAGGCCCTGCTGCCCACTGTGCTCCACATGCAGGAGGCCTTCACACCGAGTTTCTCCAAACAAGAGACTCACAGACTTCTCCCCAGCAGAGCCTTAAGGGACAAGAACACAGGATAGAGGGAGAAGATGCAAGGGATTTCTTTCACAATGATACAGGATTAGAAAACTTGCCCTCCTTTTTAATGCCAAGCCCCAACTTTATCTAGAATTTCCTTACTATTAAAACTTTGCATGTCTTGACATGAAAATTATTTCTTTAATAAAATAAAAATTAAGAAAACTATACACAAAGAAATTAGGTTCAGATGGGGCCATTATTTTATAATCCTTCAATGCTCTCTCCACAAAAAAAGCCATTTGGCACATCTACTATGTCCCTAAAGACAGCAGCACATACTCACCTGGAGAGTGGGACCAGCAGTCCAGGAGCAGAGACCACAGCACCAGAGGGAACAGGGCCATGCCTCCTGTGCCTTACAGCTGTAGCTTGTCAGTGTGATGGTCCCAAAGTAGAAGAGTGTGCTCTGCCTCCACATGGAGGGTGGACTCTAATGCAGCAGTGACACTGTGCTGAGACACCAGCCCAGAACAACCCTATCACCTCCCCCCACATCAGAGCCATCATCTGTCATACTGAGCAGGCGCTCAGACCCTCTTCTGAGCCCAGGCAGTGCCAGCAGCAAGTGGTGAGGCCAGGCTGGGCTTCCGGCAGCTGGTGCCTGATATAGCGCCAGCTGTGAGAAGCACCAGGAGCTTCTTCCCACCAAAAGGCTCTGATCTGCATGGCTACCAATACCAGGGTTGGCTAGGAGGGTGACACCCTTCCTTACTCAGCATAAACATAGCATATGCCTGTAGACCTAAGTCTTTCCAAGATCAGCATGTTCTCAAAAAGACAGGCTTAGTGATTTCATGAACGTATTTACAGCAACAAATGTGACCAGCAATGGAACCAGCAATCACAAAAGATGCACATCTTCCTGTAGGACTGTGAAAAATTGAGAATCAGCTAAAGGTGCAAGTTGATTACATGAGGTTGTTTAAATAAACTAAGGGATATCTATACAGTGGGATATGATTTGCTTATTATATTATGATACAAAAATTTTATATGTTGGGACATTATTTTGAAAATCTGATTGCCAAAGGAAAAACAGGTAGGAAAACATGAAAGTCACAGTACAAAGGATTTTGTACTTAGGCACATGCTATTACGCAGAGGAAAATTAAAGAATATATTCTTGTTATTAAAAATGTTCCTCTCTGGGGCTGCAGCTTCCTGCCTGCCAAGCCATGGACTGTTTTTCCTCTGTCAAGCCCCTCTACCACTAAACCCTGCCTTGGAGCCAGCCAACTGTAAACCAGAACTTCTAGAATCTGTGAGCTAAAATTAACCTCTTCTTCTTTACCTTATGGTGGCAGATATTTTGTATCCACAATGAGAAAAGCAATAAAGACAATATTTTCTAAAAAGCCTGTTATTTCATTCCAATACATACACCAGAGCAAAGTTTCCAACTCATTTATATAATTTGCAAAAGACCTAAAAATTAATGAGTGATAAGAAATTTTTTATACTTTTGTATTTTTTTTATTCTATTCCTAGGGATTGAACCCAGGATCTGGTTCATGGTGGCAGAGGGTCTACCACTCGGGGCTATCTACAACTTTTTGTCTTTTAACTTTTGTTATTATTTCAGGACATTGGGAATGGAATCCAGGATTTAGCATCAGACTCACTCCTTTTCCAGCTAATTTGTACAGGGAGGCTCCTATTTGTCCTTCTCCAATTCAGTCTTCCCAGTATCTATTAGTGTAACTGAGTGCCCCCACTCCTGCCTAGAGAAAATGTCTCTTAAATTAGTTTAAAGAAAGGTACCATATGAACTTCAGTTAAAATTTTAAAATTATTTACAAATATGATTTGTGCTCTAGAAAGAATGTGAAAAAGGAGGCAAATTTTAAAACTCTAATACCTTTAAATAAAGCTTAAAATTTTCAAATGAATCACTCACATCACAGTGTGCTGATTTGTCTAAACAGGATTGAATGAGCAGAATTCTGTAAAAGCCAAGTGGCCCATACCTGTAATCCCAACTATTCAGGAGGCTGAGGAAGGCGAACCACAACTTTAAGGCAATTTAAAAAGAGCCTGTCATTAAGTAAACTCTTAGCAACAAGAGCAATAAATAGCATCTTTGGGAAATATGATTTAGTGTAGAATTTGTCAAGATGGGAAAGCCTTTGAGTAAAGACACTCAGCATTCCACACTGCTGTTATGTATTTAGGGACCTCATTTCCTTCCATAGAACACATTCTCTATTAAATAAACCACCACTTTTGTTCTTGTGGGTCTGCACAGATGGTTGTGGAAAATGTAGTCTAACCATTCGATGACATCACCACAGACCGGAAACAGCCTTTCAACCTTTTCCTGCACATGTTGCTTCCTGCCCATAACCATCATTTTATTCCTCAATTCTGGCCTACTCTAGAATTATTTTATAGACTAAGGCTTTCTGGACAGGCTTACAGGCTTTCTGAGTCTCTGAACATTGGTTTAAGAGCCAGTGAACCTTGGAGTGGGACCAGGCTCCAGTTTCTTCTGTCTCCTACACAGACTTGCATGTGTGATTCTCCAGGGAGTTCCCAGGCCTTCAGCTTTGGAGTGATGCTGCATTTTTAGCCCCTCTTGTTCTGCAGATTTCTTCTTCCTGTACTGAATAGTTACTGGATTCTCAGGCTCTACATCACTTAGATGGCTATTATGCACTCCTCCAACTCTAATCCTCCATCTATCCAGAGTCCTCCATGTCTTTCCTAGAACAATAGAAAATGAACTTCACATGGGAGGAGTGGCAGGTCCTAGATGATGCTCAGTGGACCTTGTATAGGAGTATGATGCTGGAGATCTACTGCAGGCTCATGTTTTCCATGCATTTCTTCACCGAAGCAGAGATGATCTTTAAGCTGGAGCAAGAAGTGATGCCATGGATGTCAGAACCCCCACGCCAGAATTTCCCAGATATCCAAAAAGTGAATGACATAATTCAGTTAATACAGGGATGTCAAGGAAGATATCTGTGGCTAGTTTCACTTATTATCACCATCATACCACCAGAGGAGACAGTCAAATTAGGACCTGAGCTCAAAGTCCTTGAATGTAATTTTCATTTCAGCTCAAACCATATTTCAGATTTGATTTTGTAAGCAGTAGAAACTATTCAGTAATGGAGCATCTCCCTAGTAAGCCTGGTGAGATCGATGCTGGAGAGTAATCTAATCAGTGTACTACAATAGGGAAGTCCCTAAACCCTGAACATTTTGGTCAATACCCTAAGACTCCAAATGGGCAGCATGACTTTCAGTGCGTGGACAATGCAAAGCCTTCTCTAAGGAAGCAAACTGATTAGAGGAATGTGTTCCATATACCAGAATTCCTAAAGGTTTTATTGTGTTGGAAACAATAAACCTGGGAAAATCTGAGAAAGTCAACTCTCATTTCTATACTAGGAGAAAAATTCCTACCATACAAAAACTCTGATCTCATTAAATATCAGACATACATAAGAGTAAAATTCCTATAACTATCTTGAATATAAGAAAACTTTCATTATACAACGGAACAAGCATTGAGATAATGAACCCTGTGCATATGATCAATGTGAGAAATTCTACAGCTCTATGTCAGACATTGCAGTGCAGAAGAGTTTTCATGTTGGGGAAAAGCCCTATGAAAGTGATGAATGTGGAGGTGCCTTTCACATGGAGGCATAGTGTTGTTCATACTTGTGGAAAACTATACAATCATTTAAAACTGTAGGAAAAGTTTGTCCTTTAATTCATCCCTCACTGCGGGTTGTAGTCAGGGGTTGTGAGGAGAACAATTAGATTCAGGAGATGGAGTTTGTAGTATTATTTTATGAAATATGCAAGAAATCTATCAACAACACTAAAGACATAGAACATTTAGCCAAGGGCCTGCATCCCACAGCAATGCCCCATATGACTCCAGATGAGGACCTAGAGCTCATGACAGTGCCTCCCATTAGTCCAATGAGAGGTCTAGAGCCACAAAAAGGACTCACACCAGTCTCTTTTATGGATCTGTGCTGGAAAGGCCAAAGGTCAGTGGTGGAAGCTAGAAAGTCCATGCCAGTGGAATGAAGAAGCTGTCCTGATAGGTTGAGGGTTCTGTGCTGGAGCTAAGAAGTCATGCTCATAATAAAGACCAGGGCTGTCCTGAAAAGCATCACAGCCATCCTCAATGACATAGAGGCCCTGCGCTTATCCAATGATGAGCACAGTTGAGTACATGCCAGGAAGCCAGAGAGGAGTTCATTTTGGAGATTAAGCTGCACACATCTTCCCTTCCTGAGCCAGGAAGCAATGCTCAATGTAAGGACCAGAGCTTCTCCAGGAGAAACAATTCAAATAGCAATACATAGGAGAACCCACAAAGGTCTCCATGCCTTTATGCCTAGCTGCTTCTTATACATGTCTCTATTTATGCTGGCAACTTTCCCCAAGTGGAAGGTCTATGATGAGTGCCCTGCTGATTTAATTCAGCTGGCTGTAACTTAACCAACAGTTTTTAATCCATAACACTGGGTATGGGAAAATTCACAGTGCAGAGAAGCCCTATCAATGTAATAAAATGTAGTACACCCTTTCAAAAGAAGTCACAACTCTGGAGGCATCAGAAAATAATTTACATAGAAGAGAAACCCAAGAGATATAATGCATGTGGAGAACTTTTCCATGGGAAAAAGTTACACCTCACAAAATACCAGCATATTCACATAGAAAAGAAGCCCATGAATGTGGTCAGTGTGGAAAATCTTTTGATCAGAAGATACACCTCACTAAACATGACAGAATCCACATTCATGAGAAAACTTATGAAAGTCAGACAATCCTTCGCCTAGAATATATATTTCAGTAACCATCAGATGACACACACCGAAGAAACCTTTATAAATATAATGAATATGAAAAACCCTTGCCTACAAGTTGTACCTCACTAAACATCAAATGACACACACTGGGGAGAAACCTTATGCATGGAATTAATGTGTAAAAACTTTTCATCAAACTTCACACCTCAGAAAGGACGAGCCAACACAACAAGGGAAATTTAAAAAAAAATAAAAATGTATGTTGTCATCCTAAATTTCTAAATCAGTTTTGGAAAGAATCAAAGAATACAGAAATAAATGAGTAAATTTAGGTTTTCATGTGTCTGGCAGAGGTATCTCATGGAATACTGTGAATAATATAAATGTATTATTCTGTAAGAGTAAGAGCTTTGAGTAAAGCTTTTATCTTATTCATGCACCACATTTATAACCAACGTAGTAGGAACCTAGATTTTCAAATGAGAATGTTAAATATAAAATATTGAGTACCATTAAAAATATTCATTTCTAGGTAGTAGAATGTGAGGTGATTTTTTCTGTGTGTCTGTACATTCTAAAATTTGCATACAATTGTGTAAACAGAACAAACTTAGTCAAAGAAAAGGCATGCTCAGAAACAGCCACATAATTTTCTGTACCCAGAATAGAATAACATTCAGGTCTCTTATGAAAAAATTAAGAACTATAAGTGTGACTCTTCAGGATGGCAGAATAGATGCAAGCAGCACTCATGAGCTACTCTAATGCATGTGTCCAAACCAAAAGTAATGGAGCTCTATGAGGAGAAACGGGAGCCCAGGAAAATCACTGGACTGAAATCTG